CTAACAGACAGTATACTGCATGCAGTTGACAAGTCGATCGAAGGGTCATCTACATATATAATGGCTTCGGCTCGTGGAAACTTGGCTGAATTGGCTGAAAAATACTGTTCTGGCTGAATTGTTGTGAGAGAAAAATACTGTTCTAACTAAAAAAAAACTAATAGTGCAGAGTATAAGGTAAGCCGAACGTGGCTAATATATCATCTTATTCCAACTATCATTCCAACATTTGCATTTTCCATATATAATATATAGATATAGATCATCTTATTCTCATGTATTGAACTTTGTCTCCCTTTGATTTGTTTACTTTGTTTATATTTTCTTTAAAGTCTTGTTTTACGTGGTTTTAAATTGTCCGCTTTGCTATAGTTTTTTATAGGGTCTAACGCTACGGTGTTGCCAATTTTTCCAATACTGCCGCTAATGATATTTTAGTTCCCTTAAACACCGTATTTGATTTAGCCACGATATATTTTTAGCACCCTGATCCTAACCGAGTTAGGTATTCATTCTTTAGTCTAGATAGAGTACAATAATATATGTTTCTCATTTAACTTCTTTAATTAATAAATGATGTAATAAACTATTAAATAATTATTGAATAATTGAATATTGAACGTTGATTGCAGTTGCAGAAGTGAGTATGTTGATTGATATAAAGAATGTTATGTAAGTAATGGACCTTGAAATATATGCTCCTAGATCTTGTATATATATTTGACTATTTGTGTTCATAAAATTTTGTCTAGTTAAATGTTTCTCAGCATAATTAATTGATAATTTTCATGTTTCCTATAAACCACTAAATGAAATAGCTTCCGCTATAGCTTTAATTTTAGAGGAGACCACCACTAAATGTCATAGTCTGCTATTTAAAAAATTGGTGTTTATATCATTTGGATTGCAACTTGGCCGGCTACTCAAATTTGTTAATTGTATCACTCAAAAAAAATTGTTAATTGTAACATGTACATATATATGTGGCTGGCTCCTTGTTTTATGTTTTTTCTTTTCTATTGACTTCATGTTTTTCATAATAATTGCATGAGTAGGTAATAACAAAGTATATATAAGGAAATTTTGGGGTAATTTTTTGTTAATAGCTGTGGTGGCCGGTGCTTTATCTACATGTTTATGGACATTTTTTGTTATTTTCTCCGCTTAGTGTGGTAATTTATAGGCCTTAAGAAGGACTGATGTGGAAGCGTGTTTTATAACGTTCATATGTGGTTGGCTACTTGGCCTCATGTTTCTCATTCTTTTCTATGGGCTTCATGCTTTTCTTAATAAATGGCATGAGTGGTTAATAGTAATAGAGTAGATAAGAGTATTTTGAGCTACAGGTTTTTAGTTATGGTTGTAGTGGGTAATTTATCTATATGTCTGCACTACGGGAGAAGCAAAATTTGTCGAGTGCCGCATGCTTTGCCGAGTGCCGAAAATAGCGTGCCCGGCGCTCGGCAAAGCACGCCACTCGACAAAGGCACTCTTTGCCGAGCGCAACACTCGGCAAAGAGCGCACTCGGCAAAATGCCCGTCAGTTGCCCGCCCACGCCGTTACCATCTTTAAAAAAATGTTTACCGAGCGCTTAACCTGACACTCGGCAAAGAGGCCCTTTGCCGAGTGTTGCGGCCTGGCACTCGGCAAAGGCCCTCTTTGCCGAGTGTCAGGCATGGCACTCGGCAAAGTATTTTTGTTTTTTTTGAATTTTGATTTCAAATTTTTTTTGTAGACCTTATCTATTGTTTACAAGCACATGTTAAAATTTGGGACCTTTTTATAACTTTTTGCTATATTTCTTGAATTAATTTTGTTTACTTACATTTTTTTCGAAAAAGTAAATTTGAACTGCGGGTGCATCAAATAATGAAATGTAGCCATTCAAAAAATGATAGTCATGTTGTAGAGTGTATTTTGGATACGGAGAAGGAAGAAGGAGAAGGGAGGAGAAGGAGAAGGGAGGAGGAAGAAGGAGAAGGGAGGAGGAGGAAGAAGAAGAAGGAGAAGGGAGGAAGGAGGAAGAAGGAGGAAGAAGAAGGAGAAGGGGGGAGGAGGAGACGGACCTCGGTCCGACGACCGTTCATGCCGTTCGTCGACAACGTTCATCCACTCCGTCGTCCCCGCACATCGCCGTTCGTCCACGCCGTCGTCCCCGTCCCTCGCCGGAGAAAAGGTAAAGGCTCCGGGGGTGTCGGCCTTGGTGCCGTTTATGTGTTGATGGCCTTCGTGCCGGGTTTGTGTATGTGTGGGCCATCGTGCCCCAAATGTGGGCGTGGGCCAGCGAGCACGAGCTCTAGCGTGCCCATAAGGCAACGGCCGTCATCGGTGGTGGCACTCCAGGTAAGTATTCCAGTTTCATTCGTCGTTCTTTGTCATTTACATTCCTTAGCTATGCATTATTGAAACATTGGTGTCAAATGTTGTAGGCCGAGCTGCAGCAACTTCGGTCACAGCAGGAGGCCCAGCTGGCTGAGCGGGGGGCCGAGCGTCAGAGGCTACAAGCTTTGGAGGCCCAGCAAGCAGGTTTGCTCCAGTTCGTGCAACAACTTGGGCTGCAACAAGGTTGGGAGATCCCAGCCAACCTGCTTGCACCACCACCACCACCACATCGTCCAGATTCTACTCCGGTGAGTATGAGTACGGATGCTTTACTTTCTATGCTCATGCTTAGTGTCAAACCTAGTGATGGCCTTCGTGCCGGATTTGTTGATGTGTGGGCCTTCGTGCCGGGTTTGTTGATGTGTCGGCCTTCGTGCCGGAAATGTGGTTGTCGGCCTTCGTGCCGACGTTTTTCTTGTAGGTTTTGGAAACCTCCCCGTGCGGGGGAGGTGCTGCCGAAATTTTCAACTTTTCTTTAAACTGCTTACATTTTTATCTTGTCATTCACGTGCAATCTCTTCTCTTTTGTGCAGCATCAATCGGGAGCAGCGTCGAACCATCTCGGAGGGTCACCAGCATCGCAAGTTGGGGTGTCGCAACCCTCACATTCGCCGTGAGCCGCTTCCGGAGTCGGTTTTATGTAGGCATGCCTTTATGTATTGAACTTGTGAACCTGTGGTTTGTAATATATTGTGGATTTCGGACATAATTGGTCGTTTGTGATATATATATGTGGTTTCTGATATATTGTGTTGAATTGTGGTTTCTAATATATATATATATATATATATATATATATATATATATATATGCACTGTTGTTTACATGGAAAAGCAAAAAACAAAAAAAAAATTTGCTGTGGCTTTGCCGAGTGCAATGGTCATTGCACTCGGCAAAGAAAATTTAAAAAAAAATAAAAAATGCTTTGCCGAGTGCCTTGGCAGTGGCACTCGGCAAAGAAAATTTTTTAAAAAAAATAGGCTTTGCCGAGTGCCTCGGCGCTATGGCACTCGGCAAAGAATTTTGAAAAAAAAAAGAAAATTCTATGCCGAGTGTTGCACTCGGCAAAGAAATTAAAAAAAATTAAGACGGCGTGAGCCTTCGGCCAACGGCCGTCAATCCTTTGCCGAGTGCAAGCTTGACACTCGGCAAAGCCTTTGCCGAGTGCCCGAGATTTGACACTCGGGCTTTACCGTGAAAAGGTTCGACGGAGCCTCTTTGCCGAGTGTTGCACTCGGCAAAGGATTTGCCGAGTGCATGGGTGCCTTTGCCGAGTGTATGGGGCACTCGGCAAAGCGTGTGGCTGCTGTAGTGCTGGGCATTTTGATTTTAATTTTTTATGACTAAATGTGGTAATAGGGCTTGAGAAAAAGGTGGATACTCTTTCTGTTGGCCAAATACTAATAATAGATGTAGTATCTATTGGTCAGCAGAAGCATCGAAAACAACAGAACAAAAGGCATGAAAAATAATGGGGAGTCATCCAGGTTGGCGGGCGGCCGTTTGCCAGGATCAGAATCCACTTGATGCCGTGTGAGACTATCCAAGGCAGTTTGGCAAACTGCGTCTTAATGTAGTGCCCACTCCAAATCTAGAACAAACTGTAATAAGTCTACTCTCGATAGTATGAGCTAATTCATACCTCTAATAAAAAAATTCCTTCAATTATCATAACTTTTAACAAAATTAATAGACCCATATGATACTCTTACATAATCTCGAAATCTATGTGTTTACAACACCTCCAGTGTGAAGAAAAAGTGAACCATGGACAACATAAATCGAACCAAGAACACGGGAAAGCGTGAACCATGGTTGTCAGATTCCAAATCGACACTTGCAGACGCGTGAAACCGAAACAATAAAATAAGACAGCAGCCGTGTGCATGCAAGTTCTGTCCAATGAAACACTGACACATAGAGGTTTGTTTATTCAGACGTAGGTCTCAGCACTGGAGGTTCGAAGGATTTGAACTTTGTCAGTTCGGTTCAATCTTAACGCTGGAGCCGCCCTTATGTACGAGACTAGGCTTTGATCTCTAGAGATAGTTTTTCTCTCTCTTCTAACTCTCTCTTCTATTAAGTTATCATTGGAGCTGCCCTAAGTGAGAAATGGGCCTTCTGTTTTTTCATTAATGTGTTTCAAAAAAGATATATTTCAATCTTTACGGCACTATGTATATGTACATAGTAGAATAATTGGATAAATTATAAACTAGCTATCAGTACGTAGCAAGGCTAAAGTTATGTAAGACTCTCAACAGCTGCAAAATCTGCTGGACAGCGGATGCCAACATTAACCGACGTATACGTTGGATGGACACTTTCAATTTGAAGATCTTTGACGATTGACATGGACATGAACTGACGTATAAGTTAGTACCAGTGACCTGATGACCGGGGCATAGAAGGGAGTTCCGGCTTCCGAGTTGGTTAGTTCATCGCCGCTCATCAAGCTCTCTATATAAACCCCGTCTTGGTGCCCTTAGACTGCACACAAGCAATACATTAGCTAGCAGTGGCAGTGGCAACACATTACACACAGAGACACGTCTGCATTCCATATAGCTAGATAGCCAGGTACTGGGAGTACGTCTGGTAGTTGCAACTAGCTATCATGGCTTCCTACATTGGCAACAAAACTATGATCACGTTCACAGCGGCCCTTACAATTCTTGCTGTGATAACCATGATGGTCGAGGCCCGAGACCTGTCCACCTCCACCGGTGGATATGGCGAGGAGGCCATGAAAGTGAGGCATCAGCAGTGGATGGCGGAGCATGGCCGCACCTACAAGGACGAGGCCGAGAAGGCGCGCCGGTTCCAGGTATTCAAGGCGAACGCCGATTTTGTTGACAGGTCCAATGCCGCTGGCGGCAACAGTTATCAGTTGGCGATCAACGAGTTCGCTGACATGACCAACGACGAGTTCGTGGCCATGTACACTGGCTTCAAACCTGTGCCGGCAGGGGCAAAGAAGATGTCCGGTTTTAAGTACGAGAACCTTAGTCTTTCAGACGCCGACCAGCAGGCGGTTGACTGGAGGCAGAAAGGTGCAGTCACCGGCATCAAGAACCAGGGCCAATGTGGTAACTATATACGTATTTGATAATTTGTATTTGATACAGTAGTACATCTTCTAGACATCTACGTACCATCGCATCGATCGTCCTTGCTGCAAATAAAATGCATGCATGTATGCGCAGGTTGTTGCTGGGCATTCGCTGCAGTGGCGGCCGTGGAGGGCATCCACCAGATCACGACGGGCAACCTGGTGTCGCTATCGGAGCAGCAGGTGCTGGACTGCGACACCGACGGGAACAATGGCTGCAACGGCGGCTACATTGACAACGCCTTCCAGTACATCATCAGCAACGGCGGCCTCGCCACCGAGGACGCCTACCCGTACACCGCTGCGCAGGGCAGGTGCCCGTCGTCGGTCCAGGCGGCGGTCACCATCAGCAGCTACCAGGACGTGCCAAGCGGCGACGAGGCAGCGCTCGCCGCAGCCGTCGCCAACCAGCCGGTGGCCGTGGCTATCGACGCGCATAACAACTTCCAGTTCTACAGTAGCGGGGTGTTGACCGCGGCCACCTGCGGCACGCCCAACTTGAACCATGCCGTCACGGCGGTGGGCTACGGCACGGCGGAGGATGGGACCCCGTACTGGCTGCTCAAGAACCAGTGGGGGCAGAGCTGGGGAGAGGGAGGATACCTCAGGCTCGAGAGAGGCACAAACGCCTGCGGTGTCGCCCAGCAAGCCTCCTACCCGGTCGCATGATGTTGATCAACTATATATCTAAATAACGTAAGGATCGGAGATAATAATATAGTCTACATACATGAAGGCATGCAGAAGAAAGACTAATAAGGAATAAAGCATGCTCACATATTGATAGTACATACAAATTACACAATTGTTATGCAATACTCCAAAATACATGTAACATTGTAAGTTTGCAAAGCATGAGTCGAGGCTATATTGGCTCCTCTTCTTACCGCCTTTCTTTCTCTTGTTGTATTGGGTCCGTTTGTTGGGTTGCTCGGCCACCTTCTTGGTGGTGCTTCGTAAATCTACGCTACGATGATTCTCTCGTAGTTGCGTTGTTGTAAACTCTATTTCTCTTAATGAAAAATGTGCTTAGGCACGATCGAGAAAAAAAAGTCGAGGTTGTAGGCAGTATGGGAGCATGACATAACTCCCATCTACTAGCACATTCTTGGATCAGCTTATGCTATTTGTTCTTTGATAAATAAATCAAGGAAAATAATTTATTCGTGGTATCGTATCTAGCATGATCGGCTGTGCTGCCTGCGGCTGCGGGCAGCAGCTAGCCGCAAGACACAGTTATAGTAAAGTTCCTGTGCAGTTGTGCCTTGCGAGTGCTGCAGCCGTAGCCGTAGCCGTAGCCAGCAGAAGCAAGCACGGCCGTCCATGACAACTTTGTATGAAGAACATGCCTTGGCGTGTTTATCTGCACAGGATCCAGCAAGTTGTGTGCAGCAGACTTCAATACTGAACCAGGCCATGTCTTCTGTGATGCATGCAGGAATAGCTTCAACAAGGGCCACCATATCATTCGGTGGTTTCTATGATGGCTTCTAATGGATCATATCATCAAAACAGACTATCATCATGTACCTTGCCCTCGTAACAGGTAGGAACTTCCTAGATATGCAAATTGAGTAATAACCAAGGTTAATTAATACCTTCAAAGATCAATGAATAGATGACAGACTTCATCGTCTCAAATTGAGTATGTATCGGTATTGGTTGCTATCGTAATTCTTCGTGTGCCAAAGGATTAAACAGTTATTCTTGTTTGGCACAAATCAAGCCTATATATACATGCTGAAATAATGTCTGCAGTATGTAATAACCAAGATTTGTAGGCACATCAAATTGCCATATCAGCCTCTCACTACTTGAAACGTCAAATTCCCTGACGGTTTCAAATATTTTTGTCGGTTATTGCATAAACCATCAGGATAATTAACATTATTTTGACGGTTTTTATAAAACACACATGAAAATTAATATTATCTTGACAATTCCTGGAAAACACATAGGAAAATTAAATAACCGATAGGAAAATTCCTAATTAACATGACCATTGTTCACAAACAGATAAATCTCACACATAGTTATACAACTAAGTGAGTGATGTTTCTATTTGTGAAGGATGTATAGTCTCACTTTATTAAAATTGCCTGAATTTTTATTGAATGCTTATGGATCCAAAACACATTATTGTGTCAATTTGCTGAATTTTATGATCAAATTTAGTTATTATTGTAATTATTTGATGAATTACCATATAATAAATGTAATAATATCTAGACTTGGTTAGGAAAATCTACAAACTTGCATGACAACATGATTTTTATGTACAATCATTGCATAAAGATTTCAAATGATTTTGACAAAGTAGTATTGCGCATTGTTCACAAATGGATACGTCTCGCACATAGTTATATTACCAAGTGAGAGTTGTATCTATTTGTAAAGGATATATAGTCTCACTTTATTAAAATTGCCTGAATTTTTATTGAATGCTTATGGATCCAAAATACATTATTGTGTCAATTTGGGGAATTTTTTGATCAAATCTAGTTATTATTGCAATTATTCGTTGAATTACCATATAATAAATATAATAATATCTAGACTTGGTTAGGAAAATCTACAAACTTGCATGACAACATGATTTTGATGTACAATCATTGCATAAAAATTTCAACCGATTTTAACAAAGCGGTATTGTGCATTGTTCACAAATGGATATGTCTAGTACATAGTTATATGACTAAGTGAGAGATGTTTCTATTTGTGAAGGATATATAGTCTCAATTTAATAAAAATGCTTGAATTTTTTATGAAATACTTATGGACCCAAAATATGTTGTTGTGTCAATTTGTGGAATTATTTGACCAAATTTAGTTGTTACAGCAATTATTTGTTGCATTACCAAAGTATAAATGTAACAATATCTAAACTTGGTTAGGAAAATCTACAAAATCGCATAACAACATGATTTTGGTGTATGCTTATTGCATAAAAAATTCAGATGATTTTAATAAAGCGGTACTCATGTCAAACTTTGTAGTTTGCACACCTCACATCCATTTTGAACTCGTATGGACTGCAAATTTTAACAAAGCCTTACAAATACCACAAGATAAGGAGATGTGAGTTATCCAAAATCTTGGAAATAGTTCACTGTATTTTATATTTTAATTGAAACAATTTGTAAATTATATGCTAATCTCAAAATTGTATTGAATTTATCCTCTTTTGTTTATAAATTATAGCTCGGGCCAGTGCTACGCCGAGCAACTAGTCGAAGGAGGCTGTGCTAGTGGATACAAGGCGCTCAGTTCACTTTGTAGTTTGTCGAAGGAGGTCAGTGCTATGCCGAAATGGCGAACTATTCGCTCCAAACGCGTGCTTAGCGTGCTCGGTAGACGAGAGCCTTCAACTGCACGAACCCCCATCCTCAGGTAAAAATCTCAACTATTGTTCCTGATGTTTTTATCCTGTACTGGTGCCGAGCAGTGAACTGATTCACTTGTGGAAAGATTCATTTGCAGGAACGAGCGGTGTACTTCTTGGGCGTGCCGTGGAGCAATTGGCTAAAGGCAGTGGACGCCCAGCCAACCACTCAGCCGGAGGAAGGTCCCTTCAGCGCCTCGTCGGAGTCCGAAGTTGAAGGTGCTAGTGAAAGCTCTAGTTTGATTTTGGTTAATAGATGAAACCATAAATGCTAACATAGTTTATCAAAGTGATTATAAGATAGGTAGCACTACTCCAAGTAATGAAGCAATGATGAAGATCATGATGATGGTGATGGCATGGTGATGATCAAATGCTTGAACTTGGAAAAGAAGAAAGAGAAAAACAAAAGGCTCAAGGTAAATGTATAAATAGTATGAGCCATTTTGTTTTAGTGATCGAGACACTTAGTGAGTGTGATCACATTTAGGATCGATAACCGTACATTAAGAGGGGCGAAACTCGTATTAAAATACGGTTATCAAAGTGCCACTAGATGCTCTAACTCAATGCATATGCATTTAGGATCTATTGGAGTGCTAACACCCTTGAAAAAATTTGTGAAAATATGCTAACACATGTGCAAAAGGTGATACACTTGGTGGTTGGCACATTTGAGCAAGGGTTAGGAACTTTACCGGTGGAGTGTCCACCCGTAGAGTGCGGACAGTCCGACGGTGCCACTGGCGCTCTATACAGAAAACAAAACTAAGATCACTGTAAGTGACCAGACGCTGGTCTCGGTAGGACCAGCGCGTCCAGTCAGTGGTGGCAGTGAGCATGCGGTTTTGGTCACAGGACCGGACGTTGGCGCGAGAAATGACAGGACGCTCAGGGCCTGAGTCTGGTCAGTATGACGTATGATGACATATGCAACACACAGGGGAGACGTCGAGTGACCGGATGCTTGGTGAGTCCGGTCAAGCATGACCGGACGCATCCGGTCGTGAAAAATCGTCTCTGGATACTTACTAGAAACGACCGGACGCTGAGGTCCTACGTCCGGTCACTTCGAAGCAGCGCGTCCGGTCACCACTTAAATGTACTGATGACCGTTGAGATCGAGCGATCAACGTTTGAAGCAGGGGACACGTGGCACAAATCGCGCGACTGGACGCTGGGGTCCAGCGTCCGGTCGATCTGACCTGCGTGTCTGGTTGCCTCGTTTTTCAATGGACTGAGGAGCCAACGGCTCTATTTCGTGGGGGCTTCTATTTAAGCCCCATGGCCAGCTCAAGCTCACGCTCTTGGCTATTTGCATTGACATAGCAACCTTGTGAGCTTAGCCAAAGCCCTCCCACTCATCTCCATTATTGATCCATCATCATTGTGAGATTGGGAGAGAATCCAAGTGCATTGCTTGAATGATTGCATCTAGAGGCACTTGGTATTCGTGTTTCACTGCGGGATTCACTTGTTTCTCTTGGTGGTTGCCGTCACCTAGACGGCTTGGAGCAGCGAGGATCGTTGAGCAGAGGTTGGTGATTGTCTCCGGCTCTGATCGTGGTTATTGTGAGGGGTCTTGTGCCTTCCCCGGTGGAGCGCCCAAAGGTAACTCTAGTGGATTGCTCGTGTCATTGAGTTACCTCACTTATGGGTAGGTTCTTCCGGTGTCCAATTGTGTGGACGACGTTCGTGCAACACCTCTTAGCCACCGAACCACCAAGTGTTGGTCGACACAACGGGGAGTAACGTGCCGGCAAGCACGTGAACCTCGGGAGAAAAATTGGTTGTCTCTTGCCCTTTGGTATTCTCCCAGTGATTGATTTAGTATTCATCTTGTGATTGGTTCACTCCTCTACACGGTGGTATAATCACTCTACTCACTCATTTACATTCTTGCAAATGAGTTATAGCAAGCTCTTTAGTGTAATTAGAATTGAGAGCTTGATTTATTGTTTTAAGTTCATCTAGTGGAGCTCTTTAGTGTAGCAAGTGTGAGAGCTCTTAGTGAGTAGTAACATAGTAAATTGTGTGTCTAGTGATCATAGCAACTAGAATTGTTGAATAGGTGGCTTGCAACCCTTGTAGAGCTAGAGCAAGTTTGCATTTCGCTATTTGTCATACTAATCAAATTGCTCTAGTTGGTTTATAGTTTTTTTAAATAGGCTATTCACCCCCTCTAGCCATATTAGGACCTTTCAAGTGGTATTGGAGCCATGGTCACCGTTTAATTGAAGGCTTAACAACCTCAGTGTCAAATTATGGCTCAGGTTGTGTTCAACCA